GAAGCAACTGCCATGTGATTGGTTGATTAGATAATTGCATTAATGAGAAATTGAACAGGTGTTCCTAATAATCCTTTAGGTGAGTGTATGTATGTGTGCAAAGGGCCTACCATTCTCTTTGTGCTTGCAAAATCCAAAAAGCGTGATATGCACAGTTCCTCAACACAAGACGCATGATTGGCTCGAAGAACAAGATACTGGGTTACATTGTGTGCTTGAATACTGTGCTGGTGTGTTTTTACTGATACAAGCATAAATACTACATCGTCGAAGCAACAATTTCCTGTTACTTGACCAGGTTCTGTTGTCTTCTGATATCTCATCGCCATTGTGACCTGTTTTCCCTTTGCAGGATTTTAAAATAAAGGTGGCAAACCTAAAATTTTGTAAATACTATTTTAAAAGACAATTTTGCAGTGATACTTGCAAAGTCATTACCTGAAATAAGCAAGGAGACAACACTGCACAACACTACATTGGCTCATATGTCGGTTTGGGGTTTCATTACCATGTAAAATGAATGTACCCCTTCAAATGAGTCCTTGTTTGTGAAGCATGTGAGACCAGCTTGTAACATACCACACCTTTCCGCCAAGGGACGGTGCCCTCAATGTGTCTGCCGTCCAAAAGCCTCCGTTCCACTTTCTGTGAATGCAATGCATTTTAATCTCTCTAACTGCAGAATTGACCCAGTAAATAATCATTATATTTCACATTAGCAGCCTCATTTGCTTTATGTATCAGAGCATGCATTCAAACTCTGATTACCATCTGGGCTGCAGTTAAACGTAAATGCAACAGAATAATTTATACTTCAAATGAGTGCAACGGCAATGGTTTATACTGTATGTGGTTCGTTTAAATGGTTTTGTCTTGTAGGCGTGTTTGTATGGACTATTATGTAGAGAGTTGTTGATAGTCTGAAGGGCACTGTAGGTGTCAGAGAGGGGTAAACGTTTTTCCTCCTCCTTATGGAATCCCGGGTCTTACTGTCCAGTGAGAAGCTGATGCCGGTGACACTGGACCTATAGGAGAAGTGGGATCCCGCCTGGACCGCAGGGGGAGCAGTGCACCAGGGGCCAGTGCAGCCTTCGGAGCTGCTCCACAGCTCAGAGTCCGGGTCTTTAAAGTGGGCCATATACAGGCAGCAGGAGAGAGGACCGCAATCCGCCCGGGGTTTCTCCCTCAGGACATGTAAGTGCACCGTGCGTCATAATCAATGCTGCACATTTCATGATCTATCAGCAGATGGAAATATTTATGTCACGTTTGCAATTTTATCTGCGTCAAAGGGATAAGTCTTGGGACATTTTCTGCATCTGAAATAAATGTATCAAAAAAGCAAGATTTCAGAGAATGTGCTGGGATGATAACATGGGATGACAATGGAGTAATTACAAAACAGTAACGTTTGCTAACAAAAAAGCTAGAGCAGAGTCTTTTCAACCGAGGAATTGATATTTAAATGTGAATTCAAGCTAATGTTTTCAATATGATATGGATCCAAAACACCATGACCCTAGATACTACTAAACCAAAATTTATTCACAGATTTAATTTGAACTGATTTGAATAAATGAAAAGGTTGTTTATTATGACATTAATAATTGTTACAAAGTTACAAATATTTTATAGGGAGAAATTATATTATTATTGGAATTAGTAAACTGACATTCTATCTATCTATCTATCTATCTATCTATCTATCTATCTATCTATCTATCTATCTATCTATCATGTATCTATTCCCCAAACTTGGGGGAAATTACTTTTCCTCCATTAATCTTGTGCATTCATGTTTGTTTTGATGCTTTTAAGTTCTGAATATATTTATGCATCATTTCACAGGTCAACTTAATCCTTCACTATCATCGAAAACAAAAATCCTGCTTTAAATATGGTGCTGATTTGCCTAGTTTTCATTGCTTTCTGTGGATTCACCAAATGCCAGGACCTACCAAGTAAGTACTGAGTGTAAAATAAAACGTATATAAAATAGTGCACTTCTGTAGATGCAGCCACAATGCTTCCCACAGTCTCTTTAGGATGGTGAAATCTCACTATTGACCAACAGGTGGCAGCATAGCAACACCAATGTCCCTCAAATTTATAAACGGTACCATTTTAGAGCCTAAATGTGTTGGTAACAGATAAAAGGCTTTTAAAAGGTTTTCTCTCGTGAAGCATTATGCTAATCTTCCAGAGGCTTATGTTTTTGGAGACTGCTATTCTTTCTGCAAGCCTCCACCACACACTTTCTTCATTTGTAAACAGCAACAATAAATGCCGTATGATGTTATGTCCATTCTAACAGAGGCCCTAGAACAGAGGGCCAGTCAGAAACCACGATGTCTGCAAACGCAGGAATGTCACTGGGCCTCACTGAATGGGTATCTAACTGAGTTCTGAGACCAGCCAATTGCCGATAAAGACACACATTCACTCTGGGTGTCATTGGAAGAACCCAGCCATCCCATACATCTCAGTGGTCTTCTTACAGACCTGATGGAGCTGGAAAAGCCCCTGTCTGGTCACTAGGTGGCAGTGTTGAGTCAGTGTGCAGAGCCATCCTGTGATTTTGCTGCTGAGGGTGATGGCGGGAAGGTCACACAGGTCCCCTGTTGCCACTGGCTTTGGAGCCACATTACACTCCAGCCATCCAGCTTCTGTTGATCTCAGAAGGGCCACACCTGGTCCCAGGAAGCATCGGCCTGCAGCTTTGTGCCGATGCTTGGCTGGATCACCACGTCACCTTCCAACAGCGGAGGCCTCACTGTGCCGACTGCCCACCTCTTCCTACCTTTTCTGGCTGATGCCGTATCCATCTGATAACCAGACATCCACCGATGTTTCTGTTTGTGTTGAGCTTTCGACCTCCTGGAAGGGTTTCGGTTGTCTGAGTCGGATGGAGTCAGGACCGTGGATGGGTCTGATCCCCAGGCTGTGGCTTACCGCATCAACCCCTCCGTTCAGCTAAGGAGGACGACGAGGTACGCGGCCTTCTGCATGAGCAACAGGCAAAGATGCTTCTGGGCAAGAGCAGCTGTTGGCTCTTTATCGCCATCTGCTGTCCGTTTGGGCATAAATGCACTTCCTGCTAGACCTACAAATATCAATGTTAGTGATTCCCGAAAAGCAGGCAGCCACTAGAATGTAAAACCAGGCCATTTCAAAGCTTCAGCTCGATTTAATAATTCATTATTAAATGATTAAAATGTAAAAATAATGACTTTCCATCAGAGAGAGTAACTAATTATAAATTAAAAGCAATCGACATCTCACATCTCACCCTCACATCTGTAATCTTTTAAATTTAAATTTTAAATTGATTAAAATCAGTAGGAGACCTGCAGTGACCCAGCATGTACACATGAAGATTAGTGTCATTTTATTGAAGTTGTTTATGAAATAATACAGGCTTTCTGTCATCTAAATGGATTCTCAGATACCCATAGCAGCACATGATGTAATTCAGATATTAAAACATTCCGCTGAGGCAGAACAAGGGGATGGATTTGTTTGTTACACATTAGGGAATCAAAATCATAATCATCTGATTATCATCTGAGACATGGTTTAAGTCGGTTTTAAAGTCAGGGGGGGCTCGTCCTGCTGTATCTTCCTGTTTAGTGTCCTGGCATTAATCAGACCTGGGGTAATTCTGGGATTTTAAGGCAGGGGGCATAAAAGGGACCATAATTCATACAAAAGGCCTGACCTTGTTTTGAATTGGTGAGTGACAGGGGTGGGGGCACTATGGGGGCCAATCAGCTTTCAGCTGGGGCCAGTGCCCCTGTGCCCCCGCGCCTGCCAATGGTTGGACCGTTGTGTGCAGTGAGGTCTACCCTGAGGGCCTGCCCCCCGACTACGCCATCATCGCCACCTTCAAGGTAGCCAATGAGAGCATGAGGAACAGCTGGGACCTGTGGCAGGTCAGCGCCCCCGATGGCCAGGAACAGGTTGGCGTCCGTTTCCCTGGTGATGGTAGCTCGCTGGACTTCTTCTACACGGGGCCTGGTGGTGCCCGGATGCTGCGCACCTTTCGGGATGTGGAGGGGCTCCTGGATGGCCAGTGGCACAAGCTGGCACTGAGCGTGCAGGGTGAGCGCGTGCGGCTGCTTGTTGACTGCCGCGAGGTCAGCACCGTGCCCATTGACGGGCATCGGGCCACCATTCGCGCTGGCTTCACCTCCATCGTCAAGCGGGCCGTCGGCGACCACTCCGGCCCGGTGAGAGCACCAACAACCAACAACTGCCGCTGGTCTCTGGGTGCATCTGTCATGAATGGGCTCAGACAAGTTTACTAATGGCAGCTGTAATTTACAAGTCTAATAGCATTGTTAGCAAAAGGCTCTCATTGGGCAAAATCAGCTTTTGATTGACAGCACGTTGTAAATCCCGCCCAGTATGCTCTTTCATCACTGCATACGAGAGATGAGTGCGTGTTAAGGCCTGTGTGCCTGGCAGGTGGACCTCCAGCAGATGGCGCTCTCCTGTGATCCAGACCAGGCATACACTGAGGCTTGCTGTGAGCTCTCCAGTGCTGTGAGTAGCCTGCCATGTGTGGTGGGGGGATTTTCAGCAGTAGGTTAGAGTTCAGCCCTAAACACTTTCTCTCTCTGGACTACAGTGTGGGGGCCACGCCGAGATCGGCCTGACTGGGGGGCGCGCCCCCTGCAAGTGTGTTCATGGCCAGCCAGGTGTGCAAGGGCACCCAGGACAGAAGGTCAGTCACCAAATGCTTTGCCCAGCCAATCACATCGACCCCTGATTTCCCAGCACGAATCCCACGTTATTCGTTTTTCACAAGGCAGGACCAACCGATTTCCCAAATTAACCCAGTTTGTATTTATCTTCAGGGTCACAGAGGTCTCCCAGGCAACCAGGGAGAGGCAGGCAGAGTGGGAAACTGGGTAAGAGCCACTTGTGTTGGGTAGGAGCAAAGCAGTGCTGGGTATTTGGTGCCATAAACAGCTTCATCCCCCTCGGCCGTGGTGTTCCAGTGTTACCATGAGCGATGCTGTGGAAGTGGCCACTGGAAAATGCCACGGTTAATTTCAAGTATAACGAGCTAAACCTAAAGGCAAATGGAATCGGAAAACCCCCCTCGTAAGATAGCCCTGGAGTTGTGGAAAATGGTAACAGATTCAGAGCCCGGCGATGGTAGGATGGAAAGCAGGCTGGGAATGGGCTTCCCAGCGGCGGTAAACACGGCACACTCAAGCTCAGCCAGCGGCCATCAAACCCCACACGAACATCAAGCAGAACGCAGGAAGTCATGCCTCATTAGGGTGCCCCCTGTGGTGTGTCTGTGTATTACAGGCGTGCTCTTACTCAACCCTGAACACTGGCAGCAGGGCAAAGAGAGTCGCATGTGTGTGGGCGGGTGTCATGCTGGGGAGGGGACGCCATGAGAAGGGGGGGTTAAAAAGCTTATTTTTGGAGCGGCAATAGGCTGCCAGAACAGCACTGACTTTGGAGCTGGTCGTTTCCTGCTTTAGTGGGATTTCAGTGAAATCCTCTACTACCTGACAGAGACGTGGGACACAGCTAAGCTGAACAGCCACTGTGGCCCCATGACTGCGATAAATATAGATGAATGTGAACTTGACAGTTTATACAAAGGGAAGTGGCTTTGTTATGTACATGTGTGCATAAGTTCATCTGTGAGACGGCGATCTGAGCGGACGACAGGGAGACGGGATTTACAAACGCACTCAGAAACGGGATAAACGATTCAGTCCCATTTCTGATATTCCCTGACTGACTCTTTCCACTACTTGACCTTAATTTATTAAAGCAAATCTTTTTTTTTTTGGAAATTTGGCATTTTAATGAGGAGCTCACGCTGGGATGCTGGAAAATCTGCAGCCGGTTGCTTAGACACAAAATAGACTGTCAACATGGATCTGGAGCCTTTGTTGCACCATTACCATCAGACTCCATGATTCTTGGGGTCTGTACAGATTAGTGCTGAGGGTGCAGGTGTTCCCTGCGCTCTGGTGGGACATTCTTATCTTCACCACGGAGACGGTCTTCATGCAGACCCAAGCAGAAAGTGGGATTTTCAGAGCTTGAGGGAATTTGCTTCCTGAGTCAGGATGCAGAAGGTTCTGCAGAGTGGAAATGGTTGATTTCTTTGCTCTCCCCATGGGAGACAGGCAGACATTCCTGCCCCTGGGCTGAGAGTGACTAGCGTCTCCTGCTCTGAGCTCCAGGCTTCAGGGGCATCAGGAAGCTCATGGCTGTGTTACGGCCACACCGAGGGCTTCGCCGTAGCCAGTCAGCTGTAGCCAGTCAGCTGATGGCAGTCCGCAATGAGCTGGGGTGGAAGGGGCTGATGGGCCGTATGAGTGCACACACACACACACACACACACACATGCAGTCAAATTCATGCACATACACACATATGCAGGCAAATGCATGCACACAAACACACAAATGCACACACAAACACAGGTCTCTGTTCCTCTGTGTGTGTGTGTGTGTGCGTGTGCGTGTGTGTGTGTGTGTGTGAGAGAGACGCCTCCAGGGGGTGTCCATTGGCAGGAGCCAGTGGTTTTGGACAACAGATGCAAGTATCAATAAAAAAACAATATATACACATTCTGTGTTTTGCTGATGATACAATTTGTACAAAGATTTTATATTACAGCCACAGCCTCCCACAGCAACTGTTTCCATTTGTATGTTTAAACCGGTTTAGCTGTTGGTTTGAAGCCCAGATGGATCAGCATTGCTGTTTACAGGTGGCCCCCATGCCCTCATTGAACTGACCCAACAGCCACCCAAATTAGCATGTGAATCCCTGGGCGGGGCTTTGTGATGGGAACTGTGGCACAATAATTAGAGAACGTAAATAAACAAAGAAAACAAAAAGAAGACAAACAGGGACATCTCAGTCAGCCGCACCAGCAGCAGTCCCTGTACGGAGCGGAAAAATGTCACCAAGAAAATGGCGGCAGCTGAGCAGGGTGTGTGGGACAGCGATGGTGAGGTAAAAGTGCCTTAGTGTCCCATACGAGATTAAAATGTCTCAGTGAGAAGACAGACTTGGTTCTGATGAAGCTTCGCATTAATTAACCAACTTTAAATCAATACAGGAAATGAAAATGGCATTGATAGGAAAGCAAATTGTGATAACTGCCGTCTCTGAAAATAGAACATTTATCATTCTAATACATTAGATGTGCAGTTTTCTATGTTTTCTTGTTGCAAATGTATGTTAATGTTGCAAGGGGGTTTGTAAATGTGAGTCATTGTGAGATGCTGCCCAATGGCCCCATTCTCTCTCCCCCAGGGAGTCCGCGGGAGCACAGGCGGCTACGGTCCATTTGGGGAGACGGGTTCTAAGGTAGGAGCTCTCCTGTGAGCTACCCATAATCCCCGGCAGTGATGTCTTATCGTTAGGATGTCAGCACTGCTGTGTTTTGTAGGGTTTACCTGGAATTAAAGGGGAGGAAGGAATGAATGGACTCCCAGGGATTCAGGTAACCAAATTGTTTATAAGGACCGTCGCCTCGTTATCCTGTTCGATGGTGTAACGAGCCGCTGTTCTGTAGGGCGAGAGAGGAATGAAGGGTCTCAAAGGACTGAACGGAGCTCGTGGATTCAAGGTAAGTTGCATGCTTACAGATGCACAATTATATAGGAAGACTTCTGCTGTAAGCAGCTGCCCATGATCTGGATTAGCCGTCAGCCTGACTGAAACCCCACTGGCCTTCCCAGGGTGTACGAGGGAGCCCCGGCGAGAGGGGGGAGACAGGAAGGCAGGGCCCAGTGGTACGTTGCAGTCAAACGGCCTGTTTGAGTGGCGTCATCCTATAAAGTAGAGAGTACTATGCTTGATTAGCTACATTTTTATCTCCAAAGGGGGCCCCAGGGGAAGTGGGCCATGAGGGGATTCTGGGATATCAAGGAGTGAAGGTAACATTGATGAGCTCTGGTCATTCACACATCTGTCCATCTCCACCAAAACCAGCCTAATCAACCCCATTTTGTCCCGGTAGGGAGAACAGGGGCACCTAGGAGCAGAGGGCCACCGGGGGCACAAGGGACAACAGGTATTTTGTGACTGTCACTTTTATGGAGTGTGCTTTCAGTAGGCGTGGTGACAGATGTTCTGTCAGCACCAGCTCATGACCTTGTCTCTGCTGTGAGGTCAGCTCGTGTTCACATGCACACGTCTGCTGGAAGTGTGAAGCTGCACCCAGACGAAGACCAGACAGGGCAGATCTGCCCTCAGTCCCAGGATGAAACACACCTTCCATGTTCTGCTGAGATTAGTCAAAACGTTGTAGCTCATTTGGGGAAACATGACTTAATTTCTTGATTTATGTTCAGCAAAAGGGTGTAATTGTTGTATCCTTGACACTATTTTATGCAGTATTGTAGAATTTAACATACCTGTTGAAGGTCATGAACTAACCTGTTCGAATTGTCTCTCTGGATGATGTTGAGAGACTTTGTTTTTCCCACATTCCAGGGTGTTGTTGGAGATCCTGGAGATCGCGGAGCACCAGGGCTCAAAGGGAAACCCGTACGTCACCTACAGTCAGGAGGCCTTCCTCAGAGAGTTTAATGCTTCAGCAGGCCTTCCTCAGAGAGTTTAATGCTTCAGCAGGCCTTCCTCAGA